CATCCTCCTTCTCGTCGTCCTCCTCCCCTTCCCCCTTCTCCCTCTCTCTCCTACTTTCCCCTCCTGCGCTCTCCCGCCCTCAAACCCCCTGGGGGCCGCAAGCACGTGAAAACACGTCTGCCACTGCCTTGAGCTGCCCCTGCCGCCACTACCACTGAGCTGCCACTGCCCGGGCTGCCACTGCCGCCACCGCCTGGACTGCCACCAGCTACCACTGCCGCCACAGCCTGAGCTGCCACTGCCTGAGCTGCCACTGCCGCCCTTGCCGCTGCCGCCCCGGTGTAGTGGCCAGCACTGCCGTTCCTTCTGGCACCTTCAAAAAGCCATCTGCGGGAAGCTCGTATCCCCCGCGCACGCGAGGGGGGGATCGCAGCCGATCAGGGCGCGATCTCTCAGCGTGCGCAGCCGATCAGGGTGACGGATACCAGTTTCTGGGCCCCGGCAGGCTCGCCTCGCCCGACGGGCCAGGCAACAAGCGGCCCAGCCTACTGTAAACGACAGGATATTTGTTCAAAGGAACCGTGTCGAAGAGCTCCAAGTACAGCTAGGTCAGAGGGAGAGTTAGTGGGCTCATCAAGAATACCACCAGTGGCAGCAGTGGCAGCAGAGGCAGCACAGGGGCTCGCTCTGGGGGCAGCGCTGGTTGCCAGCCTGGGGGGGACCCACTTGCCAGAACCATGGCGTGCGAGGAGCGACCGCAGAACCAGAGCGCGCGGAAGCGTCGGCGACGTGAGAGACAGAAACCAAACGTCATCATCTTCGTGTGTGTGTGTGCCCGTCTGTGCGAGAAGAGTCGGCACGGCAAGCAAACGTCTTCGGCTACGGGCGTGGGGGCCCGCACGTGAGAGAAGGGGCGGCGGTGCCAGCCGACAAAACCCAGACGCCCATTCCCCACGTCGACAGCTACGAGGGAAGGGGGGCGAAGCACAAGCCCAACGTCGCCAGCTACGGGGGGAGGTCACACGAAGCACGAGCTCGACGTCATCAGCTACGAGAGTGGTCTACTCGGAAGCTCGAGTCCGATGCCATAGGCTACGACGGTGGGGCTGCGAAGCACGAGCCCGACGTCATCAGCTACGGTGTTGGGGCCCGTCCCCTCGTGCGAGAAGGATGGCAGTCGTAAAAGAAGGGCGGGCAGTGGTGCGAGAAGGGCCGGCGGTGGTGCGACACGGGCCTGCAGCGGTGCGAGAGGGGCCGGCAGTGGTGCGAGAAGGGGCGGCAGAGGTGCGAGACGGGCCAGAAATTGCGCGAGATGGGCCAGCAGCGGTGAGAGAAGTCTGGGCAGGTGGGGCAGCGGCGGCAGATGCTGGCTACACGACGCCAGCAGCTACAGCGTGGCGCGCGGAACGGTGCGTCCGCAGGCTTGTACACCGCCCGCTATGGATATGCACTCGGTCGTCTAGGCTAGGCGGACAGCACGAGGAGCGGAAGACAGGAGGAGGAGGGCAAGGGCGCGAAGCACGAGCCCAACGTCTTCAACCACGTGGGTGGTGTCGCGAGGCACGAGCCCGACGCAATCAGCTGCGGGGTGGCGCAGAAAATCACGATCCCGATGTCGTCAGCTACGAGAGAGGCACAACGAAGCACGAGACCAACACCATTAGCTACGAGAGTGGCACAGTGAAGCACGAGCATCTCCTCCACCTTCTCCTCCACCCCGTAGGGCCCAGATTCGGTTGAATCAGCCAACAAGGGCACGGGGTGAGGTGGGAGGGATGGCCAGAGCCTCAGGGCCACTCGGAGGTGGAACACCGACCAGTACCCCAGTTTTTTTCGTCGGCTGCGAGGCAGAGGCCAGAGGCAGTCCGCACCAGGTTGAGGCGAATTGTCCGGCGTGCAAGAGGAAGGAAAGAAGACGAGGGCGGCCGCGCGAGGGAGGGAGGGGGGAAGCGCTCAGACGTGGAAGAGTTCCACCAGTGCCCCACACAGAAGCCCATCCACGCCCTCTCTGCCCATGACCCCTCTGCTGTAGGCCACGAGGCCGGAGCCTCCCCTCACTAAAAAAGCAGCGCACACACGGGGGGGGCGAGCGGCCGGCCCTCACGTTTCTCGTGCTGTGGCCCTCCGCCTGATGTCTTCGCTTCCTGGTGCCTCGATCGGGCATTAGGCCTTCGGCAAAGGGGCGCGTGTTCTTGACCCAGCGTTGTCTCATTCGGCGTTTCGACATCGGGCGGAGGGGGGCAAAACAGTGCGTGCTGTGGGGGAGACTCCACCTGGTCGAAACAGGCGCCAAAAGCCAAGATCTACTCCGTGGGGGAGGGGGAGGGGGGGTGCGAGGGTCTGCGCCGATCGGCAAAACAAGGAGTGAGAACGACAGCAACATCGTGGCCATGCTTCGCGCCTTCTGCGAGGCGGGCCGTACCCTCAACAAGACCCGCCGTGCCCGAACTGACAGCCGCGGCGGGGCCCCTTGCGGGGAGGGGCGGGCGCCAGGCGGGCGGGAGCGGGCCTCGAAACGGCCCACGCGCTTCGCGTAGTCCTTCCCGTGCCCGCACACCGCCTGGCGGCGAGGCGCTCTCGGCTCCTGCCCCGCCTTCTCCCTCCCTCCCTCGAGGGGGGGGAGGGGGAGGAGGAGGAGGAGGAGGAGGAGGAGGAGGAGGAGGAGGAGGAGGAAGAGGAGGAGGAGGAGGAGGAAGAGCAGCAGGAGGAGGAGGAGGAGAAGAAGAAGAAGAAGCAGTCCTAATACAACGCGCGCTTCTCAGCCTCCTCGTCCATCCGCCTTCCTCCTTCCTTCCTGCTCCCTCCTCCTCCTCCTCCTCTTCCACGGGGCTCAAGACTGCGCGCTCTAGCAAAGAGTACCGATGCCATTGTCCTCCTCTTCCCCCCGTCCTCCCCCAAGGGACCGCACGCCTCATCACCTCTGATCCTCTCCTGCCGCGCCATCTGCAGTCTCAGCTAGCACCACGGAAGCCGCTGTCATCCTCCAGCTCCCCACGGTCATGCGGCCATCCGCACCCTTCTTCCCACCTCAATCCCCTCATCTTCCCGTCCTCTCCGCGCCAGTCTCCACACCTCTCCTCTCCGGTCCGACGAATGGGGGGGTAGTCACGGGGGTCGTTGGCGAATCAGCGCGTGGCTGGTTTTCCCGGCGCCTCCTGGCGCTGGAGGCGCCAATGCATAGAGAAAGGCGCCCAGCGGCGGGGGCGGAACCAGATGCATGCAGCAGCAGATTTCGCAACCCCGTTCGTCCGACCCGATCCTCGGAGCTTCCAGAAGGCGCTCCAAGGGGGCCCTTGGCCCTACAGGACGCCCTCGCATCTGGCCCCTGCAACGCTCCCTTCCGGGGGGAAGGGAGGGGAAGAAGAGAGGGGACGGGCGCAAGGGGGAGGGAGGGAGGGAGGGAACGAGGGGAGGGGAACGGGGGAGGGTCCCGCTCCTCCGCCTCATCCTGCTCCTCCTCCCCCTCCTCCTCCTCCTCCTCATCCTCCAACTCACTCGCCTCTCGTGCTGAATCGCCTCTTCTCGCCCGGGCGAGACCAGGGACTGCGACAAAGGGAGTGGGGCACGTATCCCCAGGCCAGATGGCCCGATGCTCGACACCGCTCGAAAAACGTGACGGCGTGCACCCGAGGAACCCCCCTCCACCCTGGCTGAGCTACTCGCTTAGTTATATACGGGTCCACCCCCCCGATGCGTTCTGGCCAGAACGTCGAGGCGGATCCAGCCGTGATGACGAGCCCCCCCCCCAGATACCCAAAAATGTACAGAAACCCGCGGAGGCTCGATCATGTTTGCGACGCCAGAGGAAGAACAGGTCGGAAGGCCTGCTGCCTCGGTCCTCTCCTCGCCAGGCCCCCGACGCCCTCGTTGCCTCGGTGCTCGGGCCCCAGACCTCGGGACCCCTTCCCCGCGGGCGCTGGCCTGTCGTCCGGGAGCGTTCTCGTGGCGGCCCCGGAGCCCGAAACTGGGCGCTGCTTCCTCCCTCCTCCTCCTCATCCTCCCCTTCTTCTCCCCTCCTCCTTCTCCTCCTCCTCCTCCTTCCTCCTTCCTTCCTTCCTCTCCTCCTGCCTCCTCTTCTCTACCTCCTCCTGCCTCCCTCTCCTCCTTTTTTTCACTCCTCCCTCCTTCCTCCTTCCTCCTCCACCTCCTCCTCCTACAACTCCTACCTCTCCTACTCCTATACTTATCTTATAATATTAGAAAACATACCTCTACTCCCCCCTCAGGCCGGCAGATAGGGGCCCCATCCGGGTGGTCCCATCCTAACCTGTAAAAAAACAATACAAATCAACATGTTTCTTATTTTTCCCTCTCGACATGGACGTCCTGTCGTCCACGGCGATAATCCATTGCAAAAAATACAACAAAGAGCACACGCGCGCGCTCATGTCAGAATCCTACCGAACACCGTGTGTTTGCAAGCATTTCAACATAAAACATCAAAAACCCAATGCTTTTTTCACAAAAATTGTACAAATTTCCCGCCCGGGCTCTCTTGCTGAAATCATATGAAAACCATAGGAATCTTAAGAATTCTGTCAAATCCAGCGATGTCACGTCATCGCGCGGTGCACTCGCGATGCTCTGTCATGCACCCAGGCCGCGAATACCTGTGCAAAGAAATACAACAAGAGCACACTCGCGGTTTGCATCAGAATCAAAGCGGTCATGCGCTGTTTTCAAGCATTTTCAAAGCTGTGGACTAAAACATTTCAAAAAAACCAATGCTTTTTCACAAAAATGCTTTGGGGTGTCTGTAGACCCGTCGGGCTTCCTCCGGCACTCTGGCTTCCTGCGGTGTACCGGGCCATTCTCGACTCGTCTGGCAATGCGTGCGCAGCATTCAACACGCGCTCGCCAGTTCCCGTCGGCAACCGCATCGCGGCCGCATCAGCTGTACCAAACCGGCTGGCCGGTGTGACTTCGGCCCCCCGTTGTGCCAGCTTTGCTTCTTATGTTGTGGGAGGGCGGGTGGGACTGGGCATGCCATGCTTGACTCGCTCGAGCTGGCTAGCTTGACTCCTACTCCTACTCCTACTCCTACTCCTGGAGTGCCCCCG